GTAGCCCCTATAGCAACCCTCATAATAGACGGCCTCTTCAACACACTGCAAGCTCTTTGAGAACGCCAGGGCCTGCAATGGGAGATGGCTCTGTCGCTCCTGAGCCCTCGGGCTTTGACATTAAGGGATATGGAGCCAAGATCAGGAGTCGAGGGTTCGGAGTTGGGTGGGTTCAGGGTTTAGGGTTTGGGGTTTAGGGGGTGAGCCCTTGATCCTAAATGTCGCAGGACTTTTGCTGTAAGCTTTTCGGCCCTTCTCTCCACTTGCAACCGCTCCGCAGTGCTTCTTTGCAGTGCTTCTCGCCCTTGGAAGCTTGGGGGACTTCGTAGGTAGCTGTTTTACAGACTTACATAAGTAGCAGCACCCCAATGCGGATCCTTTTTCGGCTGCTCGTAGCTACTTATTTGATTACCTACCTACCAAGTCCTGCCGACCCTCCAAGCCGGTTCACCGACTAAACTACAGGCCCAGCTTCCTGAAATACAGCTCCTAAGCCCCGGGGCTCTTTCGGGCCCCAGCATTGGAATCCGCTCTCTCCTCCAAGTCAAAGCGCCAAGAAGATCGCAGGCCCGAGGCATTAAACCGCGAACCCATAGCCCTAAATCCACACACTCAGAGACACGCATGCACGTACTTGCAGGTGGACAGGACGGCCAGACAGAGCCAGGCAGAGACAGAGAGACACGCACAGAGACGTGCAGAGACCGACAGAGACGGGCAGACACGGACAGAGAAAGACAGACAGTCACTCAATCAGGCAGACAGACAGACAGAAACTTGCATGCGCATGTGGGCAGGTAGACAGGGCAGGACCGACAGACAAAGCGAAAGAGACACAGACACGCTCAGGCTCGTTGCCTTCACGGCAGCTTGCTGCCGACGTGGTCACTTACAGCCCCTTGGCCGCTACAAGTGGCTCTGGATTCAGGATCAGGGTGAGGGGTTTGGGCATCCGGTTTTGAAATTTAGGGCCTTCGGGCGTGCATGACTTTAAGTTTGGGGCTTCGGCTTCAAGGGCTCCCGGGTTTGAGTGCCACCGTAGAAAACATTAGAAACACTGCCTTAGTAAAACTTCGCCCCCATATACGAGGCTAGATGGCAAGCAGCATAGGATCCTCATGTAGCAAACCGGAAAAAGAGCGTCCGCGAGAAAGGAGCGCTTCAATAACGCTTTTCAACAACTCATCGTAAATTGTAGCCCGAAACTGCATTAAACTTACAGTAACACACCCAAACAACCCTAAGCCTAAACCCTGAACACGGAACTGGGAGAGAGGCTCGGTCATAAGCGCTTGCGCCCCGAGTGGGAACTGGCAGGCAGCGCGGGAAGGTTCTCGTCAAGGGCTATGTTGAGGGTTCTGAATCAACTTCTACGTGTATGAAGCCTACTGAAATCTGCTGCTCTGATGCGTAAGATATCTGTTCCGATCCTACAATTTCTTCGACAGAAGATCTATAAGTCTTTAAGGGATCTTTGAGGGTTTGGGGTTGTGTGTTTAGGGCTTTCGGATTTAAGGGCTGATGTGGTTTTGCGGGTCTGTTGCTTTTAGGTTTATGGGCTTGAAGGTTTGTTATTGTTTCAGTGTTTAGGGTACCGTGCTATAGGGTTGTTTTGGCTTGGGGTGTCGGGTTAGGGCTTGAGGGCTGCTTTCGGGTTCACAGTTCAGGGTTCAGAGTGTTGGGTTTTGTCGGAAAACTCGGAGACGACAAAGAATCCCCGAACCTCCCTTATTCCAGGAAACTCCCCTAGCTCCTTAATCAGACCCGTGAGCTTATTCAGAGTTTCCCTTGACCCCTAGGCCCTACGCCCGGAAACCCGACCCCGCACCCTAAGCTCGAGATCCAAAACCCCCGACACCCCCCAAAAATGCTGAGCTTAGGGGGTTTGGGGGGGCTCAGGCCTTAGACTTAAAAAGCCCCGAGCAGAGAGCCAGGGTCAGGATCCTCAGGTGTGATGCCGGAGTTGCCATGAGCCATGAGCCATGGCAGCCTGCATTCAAATTCCAAAAAGCCTTGGCAGCATTAAGCCCCGAAGCTCTATAACCCCTGAAAGCACGACAGTGTAGGTGGTGCTTGACATGCTCGCAGCGATGCGCATGGCTACCCTGGAGCTGGACCTCCGCCGTGGCAACATTTGAGAGTTGAGGGGTAGTTCTGAGCATGCGGAGAAATGCCGTGGCCACTTTGGCAACCCTACTTCAAAAAACACTCAGGAAGTAGATGTGGGCCTTCTTTGATGGCAACTATAGAAGCTCATCAGACAGGATGACGACAACGAGGCTTTGTCATACAACAGCAACAGCAACACGAACGGTGTAGAAGTTGGATGTGTGACACCAAGTTCGCCGATTTCGATACTAGACTAGACTAGACTAGACTATACTATACCATACTACACTATACTATACTACACTCTGCTAGACTAGACTAGACTAGACTAGACTAGACTAGACTAGGCTAGGCTAGGCTAGGCTAGGCTAGGCTAGCCGGAAAGGTCAACGGACTTGGGAAGTAGGTTGTTAACTTGGATAGAAGTCGTATTTACCGGTTTTCCAATCGTATCTCCGTACTCAGCGCTTCTAGTTCCCTTGTGCAAGGCCCCTAACCCGAAAGCCTGAACCCGGAGGCCTTAAGACGAGTCTGTCAGTCATCCGCCTGCCCGCCTGCTACGACTAATGCGCAGGCAATTGGATCCATACGCAGATGGAGATATCAAAAAGAGGTAGATTGCGATAGATGGTTCGCTAGCACGCAGCCTTGAAGTCATTAAGCCGAAACCCTTCAATTCATACCCAAATCCCTCCGCAATCCCTAACCAGATTTTTCTCAACTACGGGGCCTTCAACCCTGAAAAGAAAGACCCGACCTCTCCGCCAGTTTGCCCAACTGGACAACCACCCCCAAACCCTAAACCCTCTACCCTAAATCCGGAGCCCTCTACTTAAAGGATCATGGGACTAAGTAGCTGAGTTTATAAATAAGGTAACTATAGTTATAATTACTTATAACCCCAAATAAGGTACTTATAGCCCTACTTACTAAGTCCCCAGATCCTCCAAGTACCCTAAACCCTCCGCCTGGTGGTCGAAGGACGGCATCGCCCACGACGCATCGCAGAGGGCCTTCGAAGCCGCGGAGATCCAGCTTCGGCGCTTTGTCTTAAGCCAGCAAGCAGCGAAATGGATGAATGCATGCATGTGTGTCTGTATGTGATGCGTGGGAAGTGGGTGTGTGTGCGTGTATGTATATACTCTAAAGCATATGTATGCGCGCCACAGATACTTTCTACTTCGAAGCAAAAAGGCTTTACGGAGATAGGGCTCTCAGGGCTTTCGGGCTATTTGGGGGGTGCTTTCGAACCAGAAAAAAACCCTTAAAGCCCAGGCACCGGAGGCTTCGGCTTACCAGTCGGCCTCTGGTGGCCGCGAAGACAAGCCTTCTCGAAGGCACCGGTGCCAGGGGTCTTTCTCTTCTACCACGATGCTGATGGTGGTGATGATGATGGTGATGATTGTGAGGGTGATGGTGGTGGTTACGGTGCTCTCAGCATATTTTTCGGACTGTGAATATTGCGGTTGTTGCTATTTTCGTCGCTGTTATATATTACAACTGGTAACTATTATTTTGCGGTTCACCCGATCGCCGCTCTGTCTTTGGCTTTGCAGGACCTGATGTTCTTGAGAGGATGCCAGAGTTCGACATGCTTTACATTTACAGGTCTTGGGTGTTGGGGAATGAGGGTGTTCAATAATCTAACCCTAAACCGTGAACCTCTCTAGACCCAAACCATCCGGTTTTAGAGAGTTGAGGCTGGGTCTTCAGGGTCTGCGTGCCGCCTCTGGGTCCGTGCCAGGCTTATTTGTAGTCGTCGCCGGGCCAAGACTAGAAGAGCCAAGCCTTGGGTCCGTTATTCTATCTATACTCCAATAATTAATGTACGCCAAAACACTATTTTGATAGTTAAGGCCCCTATATTAGGATGGTATAGGGGTTGACCAGAGGCGTTAATCACCTTGCTGGCTCATAACGGTTTGACAGCTGCTGCTGCTGCTGCTGCTGCGAGAGCAGAAACAAGGGCCCCAGCAACAGGAAGGCAGGCAGAATGTGCAACACCAGTATCAACTCCATGGCTAGTGTTAGTTGCTTCTGCTGCTTACCCTTACACAACAGCGGCAACAGCAATGACAGTCTGATACTGCAGCCGCTGCTGCTGCGAATGCTGGACGATGCATCATGACAGTGATAACACTAGCAGTAGTAGCAAGACTGGCGACGATGATTGCAACCTATGTCGAATAATCTGAGGAATCTTGCTGCAGGTACGTGTCCGTAGACGAACTTCAGCACAGGCTGCTGGCAACATTCACCCGGCACCCTGAAGGGGTGCGGGGATCAGAACCATCAGGCCTTTGTTGTCCATGGATGGCAATGGCAGATGGTTTCGGAGGCTACTGAGCACAGCCGGCCTTCACAGATTCTTCATTTTTAGCTCCAAAACCTGAACCAACCACTGAAAAGGATGGTTCAGGGAAGCTTTTATACCTACTTTACATGCACAATCACATGCAGGCATCCGGCTACACTTCTGCATCTTCCAAGCGGAGGAGCTGGCCCAAGCGGGGGTCCATGCTTCTTTTCCTAGCAGGGCTCCAACTCAATCCGATGATCCGCCAAGTGAATCCGGGCATTTCCTTGAGGCCGTGTAGGGTTGAGGGTGTACTGCATGGTGATATTGGATGGCCTATTCGGTGGCCTGCTGACGATGACTTCAACCAGTCTCTCGTGCTCGGTAAACTGCCACCGACGAAGTACCTCGCCCGATGACTGAGTTTGGAACTTACTCGAAACGCTGAAAGGTTGAAACCCCGAAGCCGTACCCCAAGCCCTAAACACAAAAATCGGAGTTTGACGAACACAACCAGAGCCTGAACACCCTAAGCCCAAAACTCGGAGTGTCGGACACCACCCCCAAAAAGCCCTGACGAGTCCGTTCTTTTCAGGAGCAGGGCCTCAGCGGCTGGACCTTGGAACAAGGTCGGAGAGTTGCGGGCTTCTGGAGTTTTTAAGGCTGGGTTTGTAAAGGTACATGAGGTTTTATGACTATTCGTGGGGTTATTCATTCTAGCCTGCAGAGGGTCTTGACAGGCTGTTAGTAGTTTTTTTTTCAGATTTCCATGTCGAGGGTTCAGAAGACTGCGGGTCTTGATTCCGCCCGATGTGCTGTCTACTCTCTCTGTCTACTTTTTCTTCCCTTGATCGCCTTGTTTGTTTGCCTCTGTCTCTTTTTGCCTTAGCTCTAAGCTCTAAACTCCGGGCCCGTCGCCCTAGCCACGTCTCTCTTGTTGAGTCGGTCGTGCCAACTCCAAGAATCCTTGAGTGACAAAGCCCAGAGGGCCACGGAGGGATCAGCAGCCTGGAAGGTAGTCTCCAGAACCGCTGGGATGTGATCCTGGATGGCCTCCTGAAGGCATTCCTCCGGGGCTTCTTTTGGGACGAAGAGTTTCGTGTTTTGCACACAGATACTTTGCAGGTGTAGCAGACTGTAGGGAAAGGAACAAACCACCAAAGCTCCCCGAAACTCCCGCACTCAAAGCCTAACGCGAGACTTGTTGAACAACATGTCAGCCTACAGGTCTGTAATATAAGAGGCGGCATACTTACTCTCATACTATTTATTCCCTCTGTGTAACTTTACTAAACTGGGCGATTCTGATTGTTCAGGCGCCTTTAGTGTCTATTTCTTGGCTTTGCTCATGCTGGCGGGCTCCAGCATTCATCGGACAATACAATTCAAAACCCTCGAGGCCCCTGTAATGAGTTAAAATTGGGAAAAAAGAGGGGCCTAAATAATTGCCAATACTATTTTTTTCGGGGGTTCCTCTTTTATGAGTATAGCAAAAGTACAAAGGGCCCCCAAAACCCTATTTTAATTCTTAAGGCCCCCCCATGTTATTGGATCGGGGCTTCGGGCGTTCTCTCCAAGCGGCCTCGGATCTCTGAAGGTTTGGAGTGAGGACTTAGGTCCGGAGGCCCCCACGCGAGCCCCCAACGCTGCTCCACTGAAGCCCTCCTCTCTGACTTATTTTGGGGGGCCTAAATTGGCCTAAATATATGTCCAATTTTGTTTTGGGGCTCCTTATAGTATATGATTTTAGAATACACGCCAGAAACCCTAAACCCTAAACCCTAATCCTTGAAAAAGGCCCTATAAAAAACAAAAGCTAAACCTTGTTCAAAGTATAAGTAAGGCCCCGCCATCAAAGTCGAAGGCCCAGCAGACTCCGGGAGGCCTCTCCCTCGACACTTTAAAGGTCATTTCAAGCCATAGGGCCGGGGTTTAAAGTAGGGGTCTTAATAATTACCTATACATATATACCTATGCTATATCGTAGATATAGTATGATAGATTTTGGGGGTTCCTTAGGGTTCCTAATTCTAGTTATAGTATAATTCTAAATAGTAAGGCCCCTACAGTATGCCACGCAGAGCCTGCCAGTCCCTCCCCCGAACAGCAAACCCGAAAAGGCCGTGATGATGGATGGCCACTGGCCTCGGGAGCGCTGCTTCTTGCTTTTGTTTAGGGTTTAGGGTTTAGGGTTTAGGGAGATTTGGGGGAGGTTGTGGCTGAGACTGAGAGGCGTTCCGTAAAGCCCCGGGTCCCGTTTTGCAGTCCTAGAGCTGGTTTGATTGCGTTCGCGTTAGTCTGGGATTTTAGGGTGTAGCGTTGTCGGTTTATCGTTGTTTTCGTCTGCTTGTTCTGCTGGAGATTCAGACTACGTGCGATCCCCAACCCTCAACGGCCCCATGTCCAAGTTCTCCCCTCCCAGGTGGTTTAGGGTTTAGGGGCGTGGGCCATCGAGAGTATGGCTTTCATGCTTTCTTTGTGGGGTCGCGTGCGCTTTTCGAGCAGGACGTCGCCGCGCATGCCTTCGTGGGAGCAGATGCGGTGCACATTACCGGCGCCGTACAAGAGCAGGTGATGCCCATCGTGGGCTACAAGGACTCTCAGCTCATGTTGAGCATCTGAGTCCTAAGCCCGACACTTGTGGAGTACCTTGTTTAAAAGCTTCTGAAGACTCCATACCGAGTAAAGTTTGGAGTCGTAGGGTCCACACTTGGAAGTCTTGCAAGGGTAGTAAAATCTGTTGCGACTTGCTGAGGCCTTTGTTCCATCACTGGTCTTTCAGATGCTTTATGATTTGGGGTTTGGTCTACGCCGCAAGCCCCAAAGAAGAGCGGCTTGTAAGGGACAGTGATCTCGTTTTCGGTATCCAGTGTTTATCAAGGCTCTGTCTGCTGAGTGAAGAGCGTCCTTCACCTGAGCCCAAATTTAAATCAATCCCGGCATGTTGCTGAAGATCCAGTCGCTAGAGCAACGTCTTCGAACCTAAACAGGCCTTGTGATGAAGCTATACAGCAACGCCCCTCTCGCTCAAGGCCGGTCGAGCCCAATACCAGCCCGCCACCTTCAAAGCCTTCGAGGACTCGCGGCCCGTGGTTTACCTTCTCAAAAATAATTGTAGAAGCTGAGACTGTTAGCGCAGGGTCTTGATCGTTCTTGAGGCAGCTGCATATGCCGTCGCCTTTTAGGCCTTGACCCAATCGTGGCGATTGGCAGGAAAACGGTGAAGCCTGCAGTTTCCCCGTGCACCGGGGATTCAGAGTGGCACCGGAGCCTGAGTTAGGGACCTTTTCGCTTTGCTTTCGAGCCATTGCGCACTTCGCTTCGCATCCTCTTCTTTTACATCTTTGCTGGGGCCAGAGCTACATCAGCGAGGGCTCTGGCGGCATCCTCCCGGACGGCGAGTTCGGAAGGATAGGCCGGGACCGGCGCGAGAGGGCAGTGACTGCTCCTGCTTTTGAGGGCCGTTCTTGGTCGTGGGCCTTTGCTGTGTGCTGCCAGCACCCTTTTGGCAAGGGCTTCTTTTCTGGAACCGCGTGGCTGGCGGTCTTTTGGCTGGCTTCGTGAGCCAGCACCTTTGGCTTAACACTTTTCTTTGCGGGCAGTCCGAGGAAGAACCTCGGCTTCTTGGGCCCCTGGCTGGCAACGACTTCGTCTTCGAGTTCCCTTTTCAGCACGGCTGCCCGGACCGCTCCGGCTTCTTGGTCGTCTTACCTTTGTGGAACGATCGTCCTCGAGGTCCTTCACGGCAGAGGCTGTCCAGACTGCTCTGGCTTCTTGGGCTTCTTGCTGGTGACCTTTGGGCGGAACTAGCCGCTCCCTTACCTTTGGCAGTGACTAGGCTGCCGGCCTTTGTGCTGAGTTTTCTTTTGGGCCCCCATTTTGGGTGCCCGGTGCTTCCTTGCAGAGCAGATGGCGGAGGAAGACAAGAGCACGTCGGCGTGGTACAAGGTGCCGACCTGGGACGGTAGCCCGGCCACGTGGCGTTCGTTTCAGCGAGAGATGCAATGGTGGATGAGTTCCTTGGATGTGGAAAGCACCAAGAAGTTTAACCTGGCGGCGCGTTGGCTATTGCGCCAGTCAGGTGTGGTCCGGCAGCGGGGGGAGGAATTTACGCCAAAGGAACTTGAATACACCCGCGAGGTCCGGACGACGGACCCGGATGGCATCGAGATTGTGGTGGTCCCTGAGGACCCGTTCAGTGGGATCAACAAGCTTTTGGCCGCGCTCGAGGAGATAAACGGCAAGACGGCCCTGGACAAAAAGGGAGAACTTCGACGGCAATTTTATACGGAGTTGTCAAGGAGACCGGGGGAGAGGCCAGCAGATTTCCTCTCCCGCTTTCGCTTCCTGGCGTCGGAGCTCAAGAGCGAAGGGATAGATCTACCCTCGAGCGAATTAGGATGGTTTTTACGCGAAAAGCTGGGCCTGGATCCGTTGCGCAAACAATTGCTTGAAACCGCTTTGCAAGGACGCGAGCGGTTCGAAGATGTCGAAGCCGAGGCGCTCAGGCTTTTCAAAGAGCTCCACGCGTCTGATCCGCTTTACCGGCGGGTGGGTCCTGAACGCCGTGGTCGAGGCCGAGGTCCTGCGTCCCTGTCGTCCTTTGGGGGGTCTTCTCTGAGGAGCTCGGGGGCCAGCACGTGGTCGGGACGATCGTCGGCAAGCACCTCCACCATGGGAGGCTTGGGCAAGGCCGGCGGCAAGGGCGGCCACTTTGGGCCGCGGAGGCCCTTTGTCTCGGGCTTTCGGCAGCGACAGGCTTTTGCGACCGAGGCCGACGAGGAAGACGAGATCTACGAGGACCCCGGCGACGAGGAGTTGGTCGCCGACGGTGGGGCCGAGCAGGGGCTGGACGAGATTCTTGAGCATGAGGCGGAAGCCTTGGCGGCCGAGCTGGAGGAGGCTGAGCAAGAAGGCTGTGATGGTCAGCTTTTGGGGGACCTTGAGGAGTCCTACGGCAGCGCGGCGGAGGCCCTGGTTTCCATGCGGGAGGCTCGGGCCAAACTTCAAGAAGTGAGGAAAGACCGTGGGTTTGGAAAGGCTGCCCCGAGCACTGGCCAAAGGACGCCGACTTCCGGCGGTGGCTCGCCGAATGCAGGTGGGCTCAAGAAGCGTGGGCTCTGCTGGGATTGTGGCCTGCAGGGGCACTGGGCTGGAGATGCTGCCTGCACCCGCCCGGGCGCCGGGATCATCAAGAAGGGCTCCGGCAAGGGAGGCCAAGGTGCCCAAGGGCAATCTCCGGCAAGGCGGGTCCACCTGACCGAGACCCTGGCGACAGAAGCGATCGAAGAGCCGACTGCCACCGAACATGAAGTGGCAATGGTGACCACCATAGAGGAGGCCCTCGCGACTGGGGCGCCTCACGAAGCCTGTGCCAGTACCTCACTGCTGGCTGGAGATAAAAAGCTGGTGGGAGCATTGGACAGCGCGTGCAATAGGACAGTGTGCGGCCGCCTCTGGTATGAGAACTACATGTCGAGTTTGCGTGCTTCTCCTGCTTGGGAGGCGGTCGGCGACCTGGTGAAGTCCGAGCCCGAGCGTGAGACCTTTAAGTTCGGGAATGACGGGACTAAGCCGAGCTTTGTGCGACAGTGCGTGCCGATGGTTGTGGGGAACACTCCTGTTTTTGGTCTGGGTGAGCGTGGTTGAGGTTGACTCCCTGGGGCTCCTTCTCGGCCGGGACTTCTTGGAGGCCGTCGGAGGAGTCTTGAGCTTCACGCGCCGCGCGATGAGGGCAGATCACCTCGATGGCAAGCGCATCCCTTTGAAGCAGCTTGTTGCAGGACATTTCTACTTGGAGGTTTTCCCCCGCGAGGCGATCAGCATCGGCACGGGCCGCTGGACCCGACAAGGCCTGGACGGGGTTATCGAGGTGCAGCTTTCGAGTGTTGAGTGGTCACGTCGTCGAGCAGCAGCACTTAAGCCCCCTCAACATGGAAGCCGGTTGCATGAGCAGTTGCTTTCTGAAGTGCCTTCTTCTCGTGCTCCTTTGCCGGCTCCTTCAAGCATGAAGAACCTTTCAAGAAGGACTTTCAATTCGAAGCCTCGGCTGGGACATGCCGCTGACAATGGAAGCCGTGGCAAGAGTGCTGCAGAGGTACACAAGAATGTGCCTAAGGGTGCTCGGGCGAAACCTGTGGCACTGCGCTGGGCTGCAGCTTTGGTTGCTGCAGCGACCCTCTCTTCGGTTTGTGCCGCTACCGTACGGAAGCACGAGGTGCCCTGCCGATTGGAAGAGCCAGGCCGAGATTATGGTGAAGAACGGTGCCTTCCCGCGGCGGCACTTCAGGACCTGCGTCATGAACGGCCTGTTCGACGACCTCACCTTGCTCAAGGACGCGGGGTACCTGAGAGACCGTCTGGGGCTGAAGCTGGCTTTCCTGGAGGACCCGTTGCTTCAAGGCATGTTGGCCGCCAAGGCAACCAAGGGCGTGCGAGCAGCCATTCAAGGCCAGGCCCTGGACAAGATGAAACGACAGGCTGCCGAACAACATGCCAAAGGGGAGTCGCTGAAGGCAGCCCGACAGCTGCTGGGCCCAAGAGGTGGACTTCCCACCTTGAAGTACGACTTGCTGCGCTTGGCGACCCTCTTGCGCGTCGACGTGGGGCCCACCGAGACGGTCGAGAAGATCAAGTTAAAGTTGAGGCCAATGCTGGCCGCGCTTCAGGGCATCCCCTACGAGCCCAAAACCGAGGCAGTGGTACCATCTCCTTCAACTCCGGCGGCAAGTTCGAACCAGCTCCCGGCACCCGTGGTGCCCCAAGACGACCGGGAACTTCGGCGGACCGAGGGTCCGATGCCGCCGCCGCCGGGACACACCAAGGAGGAGCTGTTGGCCGAGATGCGCACGATGCTGGACAGCCGAGACCAAAGGATGGAGACTATGATGATGCAAGCCATGCACCACATGATGTCCGTGGTGAGCCAGCAGTCGATGACGCAGCCGCTGCCACAGAGCGATGGCGAGGGGGACCTCTCGCCGGACAGCAACATGGGCTTTACGTTCGCCAACGACGACGGGCTGTGATACACCCCATGCGGCAACAGCTTAAGCCCGGGCAGAAGCTCTTGATTTCACAGGCCTGGGGCAAGTACACCAAAGATGCCCGGCTGCTGAAAGCCACCAACCAGGACGTGCACGAGGCCTTCTCCATTGCCGATGCCCAGGACTATGACCACGCTCTTGTCGAGCCCTTCGTTGGTGTGGCTGGCTGCTGGCCTTTGAAGAGCAAGGCAGCCCTGACTACCGGCGTCGAGCGGGAGGCGGCGGCAAAAGGCCACGCGGTGACTGGGGAATCTTCCTTTGGGCGGCCCTACTTCCTTCTACTTCGTTGGGCCGGCCCTTCCCCTTTGCACAACTACGGCGGGTCGGCCGCCAGACGCGACGCTGAAAAGAAAAACTTGGGTGCCGGAGCGGGCGTTTTGGCCGAGGCTCTGCGCCACCGTCGGTCTGGGCGGCACTTCCTGTTGGAGCTGGCCCGCTCTTTTGAGCCGCGCGCCCTGGCGGAAGGCCAAGAGCTGCTGGACGAACCCGGGGTGCAGGACTTTCACTGGCAAGGGCGGCGCTTCTTGACTTCGAGTTCGGTGCTGGCCGAGGCTTTTCGTGGCTATCCCGAGGAGCCCGAGGTGCCGATCGAAAGAGCCGTGCTTGCGGCGATGGAGCGGCAGTTCGAGATGGAGCACCCCACCAAGGAGGCCCACGAAGGTTTCGCGGCGGAGACGCTTGAAGATGGCGAGGAGATTGAGGGCCCCGACGGCACGGACTCTGAGGATGAAGAGGTGAAGTTTGGGGACCCGAAGGAGCTGAAAATCCCGGCGGCGGTGCGACAAGCCGTCCGAAGGCTCCACGAGAACACTGGCCACAGAAGCCCCTTGCGCTTGGCAAGGGCACTCATGATCGCAGGGGCACCCGCCGAGGCAGTGCAAGCAGCTAAGGAACTTCGCTGCTCGATTTGTGACGAGCGGCGGCCCGCGAAGGTGGCCAGACCTGCCTCCTTGCCTGGACCCCGTGAACCTGGAGACCAAGTTGGGATCGACATTTTCGATGTTTTCGATGCCGTGGGCACCCGCTTTTCCGTGCTGCACGCAGTGGACGCGGCAACCAAGTTTCAGATGGCTGTGCTGGTGACCCACAAGTCGAGTGCCGAGGTCATTTCCTTCCTGAAGGAACGTTGGGCACCAGTCTTTGGCATGCCGCGAACCCTTGTCTGTGACCAGGGCCGGGAGTTCATTAGTATCGAGCTGGAGCAGTTCGCTAGCCAGCACAACGTGCACCTGTTCCACATAGGGATCGGTGCCCCCTGGCAGAACGGGCTGACGGAACGGACGGGAGGCATAGTGAAGACGCTTGTGGCCGCTTGTGTCGCGGCCCAGTCCTTGATGGGGACCCAGGAAATGCAAGCTGCCCTGGGAGAAGGGATCACGGCCTACAACATGGACGTGGGCGACACTGGATTTTCTCCAATGCAGGCAGCCGTGGGCCGCCAACCTCTACCTCCTGGAGACGCCCTCGGGGGGAACCGTCTGGGCGAGCTGGACGCAATGACCGACAGCAGCTTTGAGAGACAGGTGGCCGTGAGGCAGACAGCCCGCATGGCGATGTTGAGGCTTCATTTCAGTCGCTCGCTAAAGCGGGCCTTGAAAGCCAGATCGCGCAACACCACCGTCCTCAACACCCCGGCCGTGGGCGACCTTGTCTACTACTGGCGGGAGCAGAAGTACAACCGACGCGGTGGCCAGAATAAGCGGAGGCTTCTTTTGCGAAAATGGCACGGCCCAAGCATGCTTGTGGCCCTGGAGGGAAGCAACTGTTACGTGACTTCCAGGGGCACATTGGCAAAGGTTGCTTTGGAGCATGTTCGGAGAGCCTCTGCGATGGAACAGCTTGCCAATGGTGAGTGGGAGACCGTGTTGCAAGAGATTGTGCACGCAGCAAGCCGAGATCAAGAATGGGAGCTTGTGGAAAAGGAGCCGCTCATGGAATCCGACGAGGCCCCGGAGCTGGAAGCCCGTGCCAATGATGACGCTGGACTTCCAAGACAATCTTCCGTTCCAGAACCACCGAGGGGGCCTACTACGTCAGATGTGGGTTTGGATGAAGCCGGTGTCGCAGATGACACTGGACTTCCGAGACAATCTTCCGTTCCAGAACCTGGGGGGCCTCATTCTGATGTTCCGGATATTCCTTCGTTCAGACAGCGACTGAGAGAGGCCATGACTAGAGCGACTCAGCAACGTGGTGGTGATCTTCCCCCTGTGACTGCGGGCGAGTTCGTGCAGGCTGCGTCTGGGAGTGCACCGTCGGAGTCGAGACGGCCGTCAACTTTGCTTGGGCCCGTGGCTTCTGGTCTTTCGTCACACGCACCAGGCACTCCTACAGCAGCGCCCCCGAGACACGAGGGACGAGAACCTTCTGGAGAAATGGTAGCCAGCCTGAGCACGAAGAGGCCGGCCGAACTGGAGGCAGAGGCGCTACGCGAAGGAGCTGGGGCAGTGGAGGAGGCAGGTTCCTTTGACGCCCTGGCCGTGGAAAAGAGCACTATCCTCGCCGCGGCCCAGGCCAAAGAGGGCGAGGTGCATCCTTTGGTGCAGCTCCAGGCTCTGGCTGCCCAAGACCGAGCCGCCGCTGATGGTGGCGCTGCCGGGGACCACGGCACATGGGACGGTCGTTGGCCACTTCCTTCCCGGTCTGAGTACGAGGCGTTTGTGAAGGGCGGTCTGAAGTGGCCCACCAGTCGCGATGCTTTTGTGGTGCAGGCGGCCAGGAAGGAGTACCATTGGTCCTCAATGAGCCCTGAACAGAAGGCGGCTTTCAAGACTGCCGCAGCTGAGGCCTGGGATGTCTGGGTTCGCAACGAGGCCGTGGAAGTTCTTAGCGAGCAAGAGTCAGAGCGAGTAATGGCAACCCTGCGCCAGAGAGGAGAGCTACACAAAGTACTGCGGCCTCGCTTCGTCTACACTGACAAGAACGATGGGCTGAGGACCGAGCAGAACAATTTGCCGCTGCGGGCATCTGCGCGCCTTGTCGTTCCAGGATATAAGGATGTGACCGCCTACGAGATCCGCAAGGACGCTCCGACCGCAAGTCGGACGAGCCAGCACATGCTGTTCAGCATGGGCGCCAGCATGTACAAGGATGGCTGGCGCACCGGAACCGCAGATGTGAAAAGCGCCTTTATGAAGGGCGAGCGGTACATGGAAGGGACCAGAGAGCTTTACGTGAGCAACGTGGAGGTGAGAGGAGACAGTCCCTCTTTGCCCGTCGGCCGCAGGCTGAGCAAGGTCTTGAAGGGCGTCTTTGGCCTCGCCGACGCTCCTCGTGAGTGGTTTCTTCGCTTGCGCAAAAGCCTGGTCCGCGAGAAGTGGAAAACTTCCTCCATGGACGCAGCCACGTTCTTTCTGTGGTCACAGGAGCCGACTCCGAAACTGCTGGGCATGTTGTGCAGCCACGTGGACGACCTCTTGTTCACGGGAGGACCGGAGGCCTGGGCGTCCATTCACCGATTGGGCGCTGAGCTCGGTTTCGGGTCTTTGGAAAAGGGCTCTTTTGTCTACTGCGGCAAGCGCGTCACTCAGGAGGACTCTGGGGACATTGTGGTGTCCATGAAAGAGTACCACTCCAACCTGAAGGTGATTCGGGTTCCTAGCGCTCGGCGTCGGGACCATGACGCCACCTTGACCCCGGGAGAGAGTAAGCAGCTTCGGGCCCTTATTGGGTCGCTTCAGTGGCTGGTGGCGCAGGTCAGGTTTGACTTGGGTTTTCTTTTGTCGATCTTGCAGGCCGAGACCCCGACAGTGGCCACGCTGCTCAAGGCGAATCTCCTGGTGAAGACGTTTCAGGAGACCGCCGACTTCTGCCTGCGCTTTCGGCCCATGAACTTGGAGGGCGCAGGCATCCTGGTGGTGACGGACGCCTCCTTGGGAAACGTCACAAGGTCTGGAGCCGTGGGTGATAAGCCTCTTGAGCGGGTTTATAGCCAGAGCTGCTACTGCATTTTGTTGGCAGAACGCAGCCTCATGAATGGAGGCACGGGTCGTTTTACGGTCCTTGACCACCGCAGCCACCGACTCCAACGTGTTTGTCGCTCGACCTTTGGCGCTGAATTGCTCGGGGTCGAGGAGGGCTTTGATGCTGGACAATACTGTCGTGGTCACTTGGCGGAGGCGATCGGCTACGACCTGGGCCACAAGTCCGTCGACCTGATCCTGGATCAGATCGGCCTCGTCTGCGTTACGGACGCCAAGGACGTCTTCGACAAAGGGAACTCGGACACCCCGTCCTATGGATCCCAAAAATCGTTGGCTTTCACGGTGGCCTGGCTGAGGCAGATGTTGGCACGCGGAAACACCGCTTTGAAGTGGACGGCCACGGAAAACATGTTCGTGGACTGCGGAACAAAAGAAATGGACGGAAGCCACATGAGAAAAACCCTGTCTGCCGGTGAGTGGAGCTACCGCTACGACGCCAAGTTCGTGAAGCAGACGACCAAGCCCGTGAAGACCGTGCATCGCGGACCGGAAGTCCTGAGTGGGGTTGCTGTTTCTCCGAGTGACCCGATCATGGGCTTTCTCCAAGGGCTCGCACCTTTGAAAGGATGGCATCGCAAGAACAACCTGGCTATTCAAGTAGCCCACGGTGCCAGCAGTTTTCGCCGGCCGGAGCCTCGCTACGACCCCAAAGAGTACCCGTACAGGACCTCGTATGCTCTTTTTCATGACATGCATGGTCGGGGGTGCTGGAGGCTTCTCGAACGAGATGAGGCGTACGGCAGGTTTTTGCAGAGTTTGGACAGGACGGCAGCAGTGCTCATAACGATCTTCAAGACCAACAAAGAAAATAGGACCCCTGTAGAAGCTGAGACTGTTAGCGCAGGGTCTTGATCGTTCTTGAGGCAGCTGCATATGCCGTCGCCTTTTAGGCCTTGACCCAATCGTGGCGATTGGCAGGAAAACGGTGAAGCCTGCAGTTTCCCCGTGCACCGGGGATTCAGAATAATGAAAGGACTGTTAGTTCAGACTAGCTGCTTG